TCAGCAGAAAATTCCAGGGAAAAAAAAAAAGCCCAAATTTCACTTGGCAGCCTCCACAGTGAGACAGTTTCCTGGAGCACAGGAGAAGGGCAGGCTATAGCCCGGCACCTTTACAGCACCTGACCTGAAAGAGACAGGTCAGTGCCCAAGGCTAAGAGCTCTCACGCAGCTTTGAAAACTGAGTCAGAGAACAGCCTCCATAAAAATGTCTATGAATTTGGCATATGCATTTCTTACATGCTTTCAAAGTCTCACACATCAGCATTAGAAGTCTGGAAACAGACTGAAGACAGGAGTTCAGAGTTCATCCTCCTTTTCTATTCATCCGGTACTTCAGCATTTCAAAGTTTTGATAAGTACAGGTTAATAAATATGGTATTGCACTAAACACCCCTTTCATATGTGTGATTGTAAATCAGCAATATTCCTTGTGCAGAACACAATCATTGTACCTACCACTGGTTTTGCATTGACAAAAATACCGGTCAATTCTTTAAACCTGTTCAAGCATTTTAATGTTTCTCTGTGAGTATTTTTTTCCCGCTTTGAAAACATTGCCTGAAATAGTCACAATCAAAGAGACATCACCAATTTTTAGCCAAATCTCTTTTTTTATTGTCCTTTTGACAACACTTACCTTTCAAAAGAAAAAGTTTGGGAAAGTTAGGCAAGATCAAACCTGTCAGCACACCAGCAACAATGGTGTAGTTTGCATTTTTACCAAACTATCCTAAGCCATTATACAAAGAGCTTTTGGTAGAAGCAGTACAGTCCTACAGCAGCTGCACACCACTTTCATGAAAGAATATCTGAGCAGAGTGAACCTGGTGGTACAAAGAGGGCACTGCTCCTCCAAGAGTGCATGGGAATCCTAGTCATCAAATTTCACTGTGCTGAACTTTAAGCTTAGAACTTCCAGAACTTATCACAGGTGTCAGACCTGAGATCTTTCCTTCTCCCACCATCGAAAAAACCCTAAARAACTGAAAACAACCACCTAAACCAAATCAAACACCACCCAGCTTTTCATTGTTTAACATACAAACTGGGTAAAGTTGCTCTTTACCTAGTAGCCAAGTAACTGTTATGTTTGCTTTGTTCCAGCCCCTTTTTTTTTTCCCCTCCTCACAAGATATTGTCTTGCGAAAATCTCCACTTGCTGGAGTGGCTGGAAAAAACACTGAGTGATTTAATCACGGTTCATGGAAAAGTAATCTCTTTCCCAGGCGAGGAAATGTATTTTGGTTTAATGCAGTAATTTCTTTTTAATTCATCATAGAGAAGAACAGATATGCAAATAAAAGTAACAGCAGATAATCCTGCCTGAGACAAAAGCTGATTAAAATAAACATCTGAAGCACAGCTCTCCAAAGAGAGGTACAACAAAACTTTTCAAATAAATTTCAGGTAAAATCTTTTCCATCCATACATGTCTATGGATCTTTAAACTTCATGAAATGGCACAATGAAATGTAGTATTTTTTCTAATTCTATATCAGTGTCCAGCTGGTCATCATAAAATCAGAAATAAAAAGTAGTTGACTCCTGCTGACCAGTTTCAGGCTACCAGAGGCAGGAAGAGAATGTGTCTAAGGTGAAGGATTCTGTCTGGACCTGGAGTAGTCTGGAAAAGTGAAGGTCTGTTTCTGTTATGGGCAGTATGACACAGGAAAAATAATTGTCTATGTCAATGAGTTTCAGGAGACTAAAGAATCATTTTTGTCTACATAAAAATTTTTAAAGGCACCTATTAAAAATGTGCCATCTTTGTTTTACTAGGATGTAAATCTAATCCCATATTTCTGCTGGGAATTAATTTGATTAGATATAATTGTTCTCATGTTGGCACCCACCAAGCCTACAGCTCCACCACCACCACCAATCACCAGCATACACTGCCTGGTTCAAAAGTCTGATCTCTCCTCACAGAGAATCTACAATATATCACTCATTATATATATACAATATATCACCTGCCTATTCTCCATGCCTGTCCTTTTTCTATTGCATCCTCAGAAACAGGCTGGCAGAACTGCAAGGTTAAGGAAAATTCACAAGCCTGAAAGTTCCCAGCCTCATTCCCTCTCACTCTTCTATGAGAAAGAATGTACTAGCACTTTGCAGAGGCTTCCATGGTGTTTTTTTAAATAGTAGTGAGACGTGACTTGAGCCCAACAGCCAAGGGAAGTAGGCAGCCAGCAATCTACACATTTTCCCTCTTATCCAGGAACTGTTAATTTCCAGACCGAGCAAATAGCGGTCAAGTAACCTCCTCTTACCTGGCATGGAATCCCTTATTCCAGTACAAGTTGTATTTGTTCAAATTTCAGTAAAAGAAATGGCAGTAATCATTACAGGGCTCCTAAGCCTACTGGTATTTTACAAGGTGAAACGCTTCCTTAAAAGACAGAAGAAAGCCAGCCTAATAAATGGGTCATTATTTATGAAATCTCTGTAAGGAAGCCAATGCTCTCTTGCATTTAGCTCACTACAGTGAATGGTCCAGATGCGAGAGCAGTATGAATTCAGAAAATAACTTGCATTTTGGCAGCCAAGAAGGCAGACAAGCCCAGTGAGCAAAAGCTCATATTCAAAAGAGTAGCAACTGTGTTACATGCAGTCCTATATGGGAAATCAGTCCTAAAAATCACAGCTTGAACCTAAAATACGATCTTTTCTCATCTTCTCTTTCTGAGAACATTAGTCAAGTTTCCAACATTCACCATGATTCAGCCTTAAAAAAAAAAAAAAAAAAAAAAAAAAAAAAAAAAAAAAAAAAAAAAAAAAAAAAAAAAAAAAAAAAAAAAAAAAAAAGCAGTGTGGTATAATCAAATTGTAAATGCTACTTTTCTAGACCCACCTCAAAAGAACAACCAAAATTATGGTTCTGAAGATCAGCTTAGCCCTGGCCAACAGCGGCCAACATTTCTGCCAGCATACACAGAGCTGCACATGTATCGTTTCCGTACTTACCCAAAATACCTTCCAAAAATCCCCGATATTTCAGGCTGTTTAGAGCTTCACAGTCCTCTCTTTCAGCCAATCTTCAGCCAATGTGGTTCGAAAAATACAGTGCTACTAAAAGCATTATCTCAGATAGGCAGACAAGAGATCTTGACCTTCTGAGACTATTAGAACTATACTTTAAATAGGACAGTCAGTCCAAATCAGACTAATTACAATTTATTTCCCTCAGAGGGATGCTTTTTCTACAACTCCAGTTCCAAAACAGTTTCAGGATGGGAGGTGAACAGAAACAATATTAGTAACATGKGCCATGGTCAATGCTGGCACTATCACAGTGATTGACAAGATTATGCTCTCATATTCATTTATCTTGAGGCTGCTACAGAGGAGCAAAAAACCTCTGCCTCCTAAAGACATCACCTAGAGGCATGTTTGGTTACCACTCCAAATTTAGTCCTTCACAAGGGGGGGTAAAAACTATTAACCTTGCACCTGATAACAGAAGACAACCTCCTGGAATACCAAATTCCCCATATTGACTGTGCTAGCACAGTCTTTGTTTTGCATAACACAATATTAATTTTAGCAAATGACTGCTTTTTCTCATGCAATGTCACACCATAAAATGAGAATCAATTCATTACCCTAATAAAGGATTTGCTTTCATTTTATGAGTCATTTCTGTTCAAAGTACAAACTAAATGCTATTTAACAACCAAGAACAAATACATCAAGTTAACTGAAATGGTGCTATTCTGTAACTTTTATTAAATTTTTTAAATGCCTATACTTTTCTGAAACATTGACTTCTAAAGTAAAACAGTAATATAAAACTATGATTAAGATTCTCAAAGAACTTTCAGAATACTAACAGCCAACCAGATTCTTATTTCAGTTCCCTAAGAAATGGAAACACATTGGCCAAGGTCACGAGTGCAAAGTGAGAAGTTACACTGCCTGCCTTTATCACAGGGAAGCAAAGGCTTCCTTATCCCTTAGCAGCCCTAAAAAGAAAATTGCACCTGATATTTTCCTTCTAGGCTTTATAAGATCATGAAAACTTTGTTGTGTTTAATGTCTACTCAGTAATAAAGTCTCAAGGAAGGGAATCTCTGCAGCAAGATCATATTACTGGCAAAGGTGAGTTTTAGAGGTCACGACAGACAAGACTATGAGAGTCAGTATCACTGTCCCGGGCTAAAAGGCAGTTTATGTGCCTGACCCGCCTGCTTTTTCAGCCTTCGTAGTTCCCATTTATACAGTGACTCCCTCCCATGTTTGTCACCAGGGGCCTCTGATTGTATTAAAAGGAGGATTTTGAAAGCAAAGTAGCCAAAAGACAGCTCACTCACATAACAAGGAGTCACCTTGTTCTGCCGCACGCCCACAAGGGGAAGCAGTACAAGATGAAGGAAAAATGCCCGCCCCGGGGAAAGACTTTTTATTTCATCGTTGAGGCCCGAGCCCTCGGCTCTCTGCCCTGCTGGGCCAAGGCTTTGACAACGACCTCAGCCAACCGCGGCGGGGTCCGAGCGGGCGGGGGAGGCGGCGGCCCCAGGCCGCGTCCCCGCCGCCCCGTTCACCTTGCGCTCACCTTGACGGCCAGCCGGGCCCGGTGGCGGGAGACGCCCTGCCCCGGAGCCCGGGCAGCGGTCATGCCGCCCCCAAAGCCATCGCCAAAGCCGCGGCCTCCCCGCCATCGCCATGGAAACGGGGCGTGGGGCCGCACCGGGGACACGCTGACCTACAAGCGGAGGCGGGGACGATCCGGCCCCRAGTCTACCAGCGGGTAGCCGCTCTGCCGGCCGCCCAGCGGGCAGTGTTCTTGACCACGCCACACTCCCAGTCGCCCGTCCCGCCCGTTGCCCGCCCCGCCCGCCGCTGCCTCTCACCCTCAGCCGAACAGCCAGCACGCAGTACGGCGCCATTTTGTTCACTGACAAAGATGGAGTCGCGCCGCGATGGCGTCACGCGGTCCCTTTGACATCTCCTGAGCGCGGGAGGGGCGGGGCCGCGCAGGTCCTGGCAGGGAGACACKCGCGACAGGGAGAGAGTCGCCGGTTGTCACACGGGGCTCCCCTTGGGAGGAAGGGTTAGAAAGGGAGTAGCTCTAGGGAAAGAGGCTTTTATTCTGCAGTCTGCTAGCGTTTTCCCACTCGGGGGAGGCTCTTTGGCAGGCGCTGTCCTCACCCCGGCCAGGACCCGGAGGCGACGCGGCGGTGAGCACTCCGTGGGGCCGAAGCAGCCGCGCCGGGCGGGTGTCGCCTCGCTATGGCCAAGCACCACCCGGACCTCATCTTCTGCCGCAAGCAGGCGGGCGTCGGTGAGTCCCGGGGGATGGGGGGTCGAGGATGAGGGGTTCCCTTCACCCCTCTCTTCGCCGCGGGGCGAGCGGGAGGCGCGTGGGCCCGTTACCGTCCGTTGGGCACGCGCGCGGCTSTTAGGCCCAGCGGAGCGGCGGGGAGGAGGGGCGGCGCGCGCCACCCGCTCCTCTCTCCCTCTGTCTCGCTCTCTCTCGCCTTCCTTTGCTTTCCTTTCATTTTCCTTTTGTTTCGTTGCCCCGCCGTGTGTTATGGATCCTGTAGCATGTGAGAGCATCTTTCTGGCTGCGAGATAAAAGTTATCTTCCGGGTTATCCCTGTAATACAGATAATGGGAGTTATCCTTGTCATATCTTGGTCAGAATTTAAGTTTCAAAACATTTCTATACAAGATCAGAAGTTGAGGTATCCTTTCCAGGTTTTTGTTGCTCCTTGGAAAAGCAAATTTAAAAAGTGGCTTTTCTGCAAGATCTGTAAGCACAGAACATTCTGTTGCACTGTCCATGAGAAATTACTATTTAGTATAGTCAGTGCTTATAACCATCTGTCTATCTTGGAAGATCACCTCCTGACAAATCCCTTATCTCTCAGGCTTCAGCCAAATCACTGTTTGGTCTTTGGTAAATGTGGACTTATAGTCTTCAAACCTCGTTATTTATGGCACTTATCCAAGTTCCTAAYATCATTTTTGTGAGTTACATAGACAAATGACAAGACTTCTACGATATGTTTAACTACCTTCACCTTCTGAAACGAAGAAGGTGTTAGTGATACTTTAAACAAACACTTTTGTGATTTTTTTTCTCACTAAAACCAGTGTAAAAGCTGTGCCAAGGTTCATGTGCAGCATTTCCTTCAGTCAGGCATATTGGCTGTGTTTGAAATGGACTAATGAGTGTAGGTTTTCTTACTGCAAATGGGTGTCATTGTGCATTCACAGTGCATCCAAAGTTTCATCTTGGTAAATGTTTTCAGGAGGATGTATATTGTTTATTATGAATGTTTGTATTTATGCTCAAACGGTAGTTTAACCTTTAATTTTTTTAAGGACTTCTCATTGCAGAAGATGATTATTTGACAATCAGGCTTGTAACTACTTAGATTTTTTTTCCTGCTTCTGCCTCAAATAATTTTTTTCTTTTTTTTTTCTTTAATAGCAATTGGAAGACTTTGTGAAAAATGTAAGTATAGCTTCCAGTTGCTTGAGAACATGATGTTGTGATCAGAGCATGCAGTTTGGATTCAAAGGTTGGAATTTATTTTTGCTTTAACTACAAATTTGAGGTGACTCTGAAACAGGAACAATTACCTTCATGTTGCAAGTGTAACTCAGGGAATACTTAAAAAGTTACAAGCTCAAACAGACTATCACACAAATGCAGTTCTAGAGTACCTGCTGTCAGCATTTCTAGTGGCTGAGGCTACAGTGACTGCTTCATTGGATCCTTGTAATCTGTAATAGCAGAATATCCTGATCATTTCAAAGCAGGGGTAAAAATGCATCAGCATCTAGGAGAAGAAGCGGAGGGAAAACAATTAGAGCAGGAAAAAGCCCCATGGAATCAAATGCTCAGCTGTGAAAGGGAAGAAAGTTGTTCCCTAACAACAGATCTCTGTTGTGATCTGCTGTGAGATTTCATAGGGGAACAATGAGGTGAGTAGTTTGTGACTCAAAAACAGTGTGAAAATAAGTAAAGTGGGAGGACAGTCTGAAGCAGGAAGATAGTTTTTAAGAGCACATGACAGTGAAACAGATTCCCATTGGTAGTAGCTGGGAGCTGTCTTGCCAGAGATTTAAGAGGAGGTTAGGCAAGCTGTTTATGGGAGTCAGGGTTAGATACCTTGGGAACAGTACCATATATCCTTGGTAATAGGATATGAAGCCTTTCATCCATAGGTCAGTGTTTTGATTAAGGTCCAGCACAGTAGAAACTGTCACTGGCATCTGCTGGCTCCTTGCCTGTATGATATGAGTACTTGAATTTCACTCCATTCCTTGCGAGAGGGCAAGAGCAACTTTTGTGAAATGGCTGTTTATGCCAGTTTGCCCTTTCTTTGGCCTTCTGATAGATGAAGGATTAAAGGAACCATGAGTACAATTTCTTATCTCTTTGAGGATAGTAATTCCAGACCTTTGATGTGGCACTGTGGGAGAAGCTTACACTGCTGCTTCTTTGTAGATAAGGACATTGGTCCTGTCAGTCTAGCATTTTTTTCAGGGAAAGTTGTAGAGTAATGGTACAATCTAAAGAAAGTCTTGACTAATCACAAAGAAGTAACTTAGGTTTCTTCTCTGATTGTAAATGTGTGACTAAATTAAAAAGAACCCTTGCAAATTACAGACCCATGTTCCTCTCAGGTCTGTGTGTAATACAATGTTGTGCCCTGTGCCTACAAGACACATTTCTGCAGTTCAGTTGTATTGTCTTTGAGTGTACAGCCCAGTTCTGCAACTAGGAAGCTTTCCCTCTGAGGTGGGGGTGACAAAAAGTGTGTTCTGTAACCAAAGGCTCTGCTGTGCTCACAGGTGATGGCAAATGTGTGATCTGCGACTCCTACGTGCGGCCCTGCACCCTGGTGCGCATCTGTGATGAGTGTAACTATGGCTCCTACCAGGGCCGATGTGTCATCTGCGGGGGGCCCGGAGTGTCTGATGCCTACTACTGCAAGGAGTGCACCATCCAGGAAAAAGATGTATGTTTGTCATCCTACCTACAAAGTAGCCATACTTACATTTAAAGGGCTTGGAGCTGCTGAAATTAGTGCTGGGACATGGTACGCTTGGCACTGGTTGCGATACCTCATACCTTTCTTCCCATATTGATAGTTCCCTGTGTTTGCAAAGCATTTTAAGCTATTGGAACTCTCTTCATTCCTAAGGCTCTCTGACTCTTTTGCAAACTCACAGTTTCATTTCCCCCACACATTGCTTGTTACCACTTTGGGTTGTTATCTTACTATATCTCCATCCTAGATTTAACCAGGGTCAGAAGTATTGCAGACACTGCAAGGCAGTGGCAGGAACAGCTCCTTGCTAAATGTTTATTATCAGCCATGGTACTGTAAGGCCTGTCGAATCAAAGTCTTTGTTTTCCTTTGAATAACAACATAAAGTTAGTCCTTAATGTCCAGTGGCTCCACTGGTAATGATGTTTCACAAGTTTAATGCTTCTTGTATCATTTGAATGGGATACAATTTGTATTTTCTTATTCTTTTCTGAAATGTTCTATATTGTAGATATTTCTCTACTAATGCTTTTTGGTGTAATGGTCCCTTTTATCTATAACTAGAGCTATAATATTTTTATAATCTTGTGCCAAAAGGCAGCCACTGCGCGTGTGAAATGAGGCAGCTGTTCAATTCTTGTAAGTCTTTTGTTAATAATGCAAAACAATGAGTGCAGAACACGAAGAACTGCAACAAAGCATTAGAAAGACCATGAAGAGCAAGAACATGATGCTTACAATTCAGCTACCCTAGAATATAGACCTGGTAGCTGTGAGAGTGTCTGTTAAAGGTTGTCTGGTGCTTTGCAAATGTCATTTCCTATGCACCCTAATGACCATGAAGAACATGCTGAGAGAGTGATTCAGTCATTTACAGGAGTGTCCTCAGCTGAGTTGCTGATTTAAATCTCTGCAGTGCCTATGTTTTTTCTGGAGGCCTGCAGCCAAATCCAAGATAGGGGCAGGTCCTTGTTTGAATTGAGTTTTTAGATCTAACAGAACCATAATCTTTCTCTGTATCTAAATATGGATATAAGTGGTGTGATGGTGGTGCTGTCTCTTACTTTATAAATGCTGTGAGAAACAGTAATTTTGTTCACTTAAGTTTGGAATGAAGACACCTGTCCTTTTAAGTCATGAGTAAAATAGCCTTGTCTTCATTTTTATCAATTCATATGAATTCCTGACAGGTATTTTTCATAACCTAAGAACACCTGTATCTTATCATGTGTGGTTCAAGTGTGAAATAGCCGGCTGCTTTGTCAGGGAGGACTGTAGAAAACAGAGCTAAAGGAGAATAACAGGTCTGGGGTATTTTGACACCTGGGTGAAGGCTGGTGTGAGTGAAGACAATTGCTCCATAGCAGATAACTCAAATGTTACATATTATTGCAGATGTGAAGTTACAGATCTGAAACAGCAGATTTAACAATGATTTGTTGCAGGATTAAAAAGTGCTGGCACAAGCATAGGGAGCCCAGAAAAAGAAAAATTGATTGTGCTGCTGCCTGTCACAATTATGGTATCTGGTGCTAATGTGAATAAGAAAAACAGATGGACAGAGCTCTGTACCTGAAGCTTTGACAGTCCAAAGTTCCAGCCAACAGTACTTCCATTGTCTTCAGGAAGACTGGAAAAGATAGTGAAGAAAGAAAGCAAATAAAATGGAAGGCAGAGGTGGAATGCTAGTGGGCACAAAGCAAAGGACCTGATTACTCTTGGTTCATTTATTCTGGTGGAGGAAGGAATGAAGTATTGTTTCAGCCCATATTGATCTGTGGGTAAGAGCCAGAATCCCACCTTGTCACCCAGGACACCTGTGAGTTGCAAAAAGTCAGTTCTTGGAGAATGGAGCATGCTCATGAGCTGTGTCCTTAGGACCTGGAAAAATAAACAGGGCCCTGTAATAAGTCTGTCAAGATTTGAGCAGACTCCATGCATCGTGAGAGGCAAGACTTGAAAGAGTCCTACTATTGAGGTTCAAAATGAAATAAGGAGATAATAGSTAGAAATGCATTGTGGCAGGTGTATGGGGRAGAGATGATTTCTGTTCCCCACATCTCCTGCCATTCCTTTATGCAGACTCTCCCCACCAGATTGCATCTCTGGCACAGAAGCCAGCAGCTTGGGTGCAGATTCTATTGCATCTGACATCTGGCCAGAGGCTTTCTAAATCTAATGCACTCAGGCTTATGCATCAGCTGAGGACACATGTTTCTCTGTCTGTTGGGCCCCTCACAGCAGCTGTGGCCAGCCATAAAGTTTTGCGCTAAAGAATTATGGAGATGCTGGGTCCTGGTGGCCCACAGGCAAATGTTCCCAAGTATACCATGAGGTGCATTTCTGATGTGGTTTTGCAACCACACCTCTCAGGAGAGTCTCCTCCACTCTCCTTGCTTTTCTTGTGTTTTTTTTCTCACCATCTACTGGAATTCAGGCACAAGAACTTATTTGTGTAGCTGCTGTGAATAGTTGACTGTATAGCCTCTGCAGTAATAATCTAGGATGCAGGAAATCTGAGATTCAGTTCTGCTGTCACAGCTGAGAGAGGTTCCTAAACACACAAATGGTTTGGTGACATCTAGAGCAGCAAGATTCTCCTTGGCTAAGGAGGGGAAAGGTTATTCCTTTGGGCCCTATAAGTCCTGCATATCCTAATTTATGAAGAATCCGTCTTGAGGCACTAAGCATCCTKTCATTAAACGGCTGATGTTACATGGGATGTTTTCCATTTTGGCATTGAGGGAGAAAATGTCCTAGAGTAATGCTTTAAAGACATCCATCCTCTTCTCTATTCCCCTGTCTTACTGGTAACCAGCGGTGGAGAGCAATTTGTCTGTACGGTTGTTTGAAATGTGTTGAGAGTGGGGTGAGGAACTGGGAACCTACTAAAACTATGATGTTGTTCTGTGTTTGTGCATTTCCTAATTTACATTTTCTCTTCTTTACAGAGAGATGGTTGCCCCAAGATTGTGAACCTGGGCAGTTCCAAGACAGATCTTTTCTATGAAAGAAAAAAGTATGGCTTCAAGAAGAGGTGATCCTACCTGTACGTGGCTACCTCCTGTCAGGTTGGCAAGAGGGTCTTGGAACATCTCTGGACTTTGCTCTTACTGAAAACTGGTTGATTATTTTTTTTCTAAAACAGTACAAATTCAGTAGTATACTTGGGGTTGGAGAAATAACAGACCGAATGGGGACTAAAACCTGATCAAAACCAATGATCAGAGAAGGCAGATGAAGATAAGTGTTTCTTACCTTTGTGGAAGCTCTGCTAGTAGTTGCCCCAGCTCTCTACAAAGCAGAGTGGGCAAGCACTTACACACAGAGGAGACCAGCTTAGTAAAAATGGCAAGTGCCATTTCTAGTGTGCAGAAACACCTTGAGGTTGTTCTTACTGAGCCTTCTCTCAGTTGTTTGAAATTGCCCTGTCCATGAGTATCGAAGAAGAGAGCACCAATCTGATCCCCTCCTCTCTTCCTCCAGTATATTTCCATGCTGCCCTGTTTTGTAAGGAACTTGCTCATGGCTGACGCCTTCCGTGTTTTCTTTGACATATTAATCCAAGGCCTTTCTTGTAACCTTTTCTGTGGGATGCATACCAATAAAACTTTTGGGTTTTTATTTTTTGTACAATAAGGATTTCTCTTTGGTTAATTTGGTGCCTAGCCTCTCTGGAGCTTTCTGGGGACATGGAGGATTAGCCCGGCTAGCACTTCACAATGGGTTATCTGGTTTCTGACAGTGTCTGCTTATAGCCACGTGACCTTGCTGCAAGGAGCTTCAGGGAATGGCTATTGCTTTTGTCTGCCTATGATCCCAGCCACTGATCATTTTGTCCTGTAGCRTGAGGATCGCTGAGCTTGTAACCCTTATCCTGGCTAATACGGCTGTGGATGTTGTTTCACCGTGCAAACATCCAATCCCTTTCTAAAACCTACTAAGCTATTTGACTCGCTATCCTGTTCTTGTGAATAAGTTAAAGCCTTCCCTTCTGTAACGGGAAACCGACTATTGTGTTCTGGGCTATTGGCCATTTGCATGCTGGAAACCAGAGGCTGCTTGTTTGTCAAATACCAGCACAGACTAAAAGCAGTCTGTTGGCTCAGCAGAGATCTGAGAACAGGCGCCTTTGTGTAGAGGCAGAACCGAGTTCCCCATGGGTGTGTACACTTCCTCAGATGGTTAAATCAGGGTCTTAGCTTAGTGCACCCTGTAGTCCTTCAAGCCCTTGAAGTCTAAGCAGAGCGTGTGCTACATCAACGCAGTTGTCTTTGTGCAGTCTTGGGATGCAGAGCCCCAAGACCTTTTTTTGTTTTGTGCCCCTTCCAGGATTTCAGCTATTCCCTTAAGGTTAGTACCATTTCTTCTCATTACTCTCTGGCTTAAATGCCTCTTCTACCTGCTCCAACCATTTGGATAAGAGTGAAAAGCACACAACTTGTGATTATCTCCTCTCATAAGTAATTCTCTCTGCTGCAGCTGGCTTTAGCTGTCACTGGCCCTTCAGCTATCTCAGCTGCTCCTCCCTCTCCTGCCCCCAGCTATTAATTCTGTCAGGTTTCTCTTCCAAGCTTTTTGCAGTTCTGACGGTATCAGCGTGCTTTCTTCCCTGCACCATGGTTCCCCTACATGGTGGATGCCATTTGCCAAGATGTTCAGAGCAATCTGGCTCTTTGGTTACAGCAAATCTACTCTCCCAAAGTAGTTCTATGGGAATAAGCAACTATCTCTTGCTCCTGACTGGGAAGCCCGTGTCAGACCCCTTATCAGCCATGTTAAATTCTGTATCTCCTTAAAAGCAGGCCATGCCATGCAGATTTTTTGTACCTGGAACTTTATCACTTCAACCAGAATTTATCACTTACTCTCAGTCAGGCTGCCCAAATTATCACACYAGGAGTGCAGAAGGTTTGTACGTCTTTTTTTTTCTTTCCTGGAAATTTGGAAGATGACAAAGGTTTTTTGGTGAAGGTAGAGGGAAATTAAGTTAGGAATTAATTTTTGTCTCAGAACTATTGCCCCCCAGTGAGTATTTTTTAGGGCAGCTCTTGTTCCCAACCATGTAGCAGGATCAGTCAGGCAGGGCTTGCTATAGAGATAGGAGTGTCTCCATCCCTTCCCCCATCCCCAAAAATGGCTGAGCATACTCACTTTCTTGGCACTCCTGATGCCCTCACGCTGAGTGCTGGATATATCGGTCTGTATTCTGAGAGTTAAGCTGCCATTTCTAGTTGTTCTGAGTCACTGGGCAGGTGGAGAGAGGGAGGGACAGGCTTTTTCCCCTTTGCCTTGTTTGCTCAGACAGCTCTGGGGAGCACGCCAAATGCTGGTACTCAGATCAGTTCAGTGCCACTGCCTTTCTGGTACTTTCAGAGCATGGATGGGACATTGACCTGAAGCTGCTAATTCAAACAAGGGTAATGGACACATTTGTGTAGCCCAGAAAAACACAACTTTGCTTGCTTGGTAATGATTTATGTGCACCAGATTTCTGTGCAGTAGATGATACCTGGGCAGGGCCTATAGAAAAGTGCAATATTTTTTACCAAAATAGATTTTAAAGTACTTTCCCAGGAGAAGAAGATTGCCTTGCAGTACTGGAGACCAGAGCACATGCTAAAAGGGCAAGCTTCCCCACAAGGGGAGGAATGAGGCAAGACACATCCTGCTGCTGTGTGCAGGCCAAGCTTTGGAAGGGTTTTATCAGTCTGTGGAGTCTTAAGAAGCCATATTCAAGGGCACCCTTGCTGCCAGCTGTGAAGTACTTATGTGGCAACAGCAGGGAAGGGTGGGAGAGACAGGGATAGCTTTGTCAGTGTGGCAGCTGAACCCCTATGGTGCTGTCTTCAAATCCTAATGCATAGAGGTAAATGTGTCTTCCTGCTCTTACTTTTCTAGGTAGTGAGGTGTTTTTTTATATAAAAATATTGCAAAACAAGTTTAAAAAATCACTTAATTTCAAATATTTACATTGAAGGAGAGAACATGGGACCTCTTGGCCTATTAAGAAATTGGCTTCTGTTGCCAGTACTAACAAGGCATTGCTGTGTTCTGAAATGTAGGTGTTCCCTGTTACACACCCTTTCAGACCAACTGCCAACCACAGTTACAGCTGAGCTCAGCAAGTAGCTCGGTAACATACCTCCAGTCCCTTGAACTACCTAAACCTTGTCTTGACAAAGTCCTTGAGCCCCAAGCATTACTTTTCTTGAAAAAAAAAGAAAACGAGAAATGGAAAGGTAGGTGAAGGCCTTGTGTCTGCCTAAGAGCTTTTCCCKTGGGAGCTGCATGCACACAATCTTACTTCTGAAACCTTATCTGCATGGGAGCTGTTATTTTCTCATTACAGACATCAGCTAGAGATGTTTGCCTCTTTCAATAGCAGGAAAGAATTGTTCATTTCCTTGGGGTTGTCATGTGAATTGACTGTACAAAGGATTCAGGGTATGGCAGTGTTAATTGTGCCCAATTATAACTTGACTGCCCTTCTTTGGCATTAAATAACCCAACGGAAGGAGCTGTCCTGGTGGCTTTGCAATTTCTCCCCTCCCTGTGCTCACATGACACAGTAGCTTTGCTTTGACGTAATAGCTAAATGGCTGGGAATGCAGGAGCAGATACTGTGACAGAATTCCTCTGCCTGCACGTGTACAAGGTTGACCCCATAATTAAAGGAGCAAGGTCAAGGCACAGGTATTTTAAAGAGCATTAATATGTGACACCCTCTTAGTAACACCTTATTAAAACAATAATAGATTTTAGAAATATAATTGCCTTTTTTTTTTTTGTTTAATGATGCTAAAAATAGCTCAGTTATTTTAATTTCCTGATCTCTGGCTGACAGCATGGATTTGTTTCCAGCAAAGTAAGGGAAGGTGCAGGGGAAGTGTTCTTTTGTAACTGAATTCCTTTTAAAATAGGAGTGGTGAAAATAAGGCTGCTTGTAATAGCTCTCACAAATCTTACTTTTTCCCCTTCTCTTGCAGACTAAAAACTTCCAAAGTTGTTGGGTTTTTTTCTTTAATCAGTGGGAAAACAAGCAAGGCTGGCTGGAGTGGCTGGGAAGGAACATCAATAGATTTTTTAACACGTGGTGCTGGCTGGCCTCAAAAGAAATGCTCTTCTGTGGCAAAGGCAGTACCTGAGTGTTGTCACTGAGGTAAAGTGTTCTGGAATGAGGGAGGACAAACCAAATGCAGAAGGAGGTCGAGGGCTATTGTGGAAATGGGGCAAGAGATGAACTTTGTATTTTTGCACTTGGGACATAGTTGCCAGACCAGCCACCCCTGCTCCAACAGGGACTATGGCAATGCTTGTGTCACCCTCTGTATGTGTTATCACTGAGGAAGATGCAGGACACATGGCTGGGAGAGCCTGGAAATACCATTCTTGGTGTCCCTTCCACTAGTTTGGAGTGTTTACTTGGGTTAAGAGCTGCTTTATGTGTGGACAGCAAGCAGCCTTTTCAAGTGGTTGGTGTAGGTGCAAAGGTGTCCAAGGTGTGACCTTGGACGGTAAAATACACAGCTTGGGGATGCCTGTAGGCATTTTCTTCATTTTCCTGGAACTAATAATGGGTCTGCTTTAAAATAAAGGGTGTGGAGGATCTGTGTGTGTGCTGGGTGASAGCGCCTTCGGCTTGCCAGTGGGCGGTGCAGCTCAGCCTTTGGCGGTGGAGGTGCCGCCATCGGTCCATGGCCCCAGGGAAGCCAGTCGTGATTGTCCTTCCCCAGGGCAGCCGGTCAGCCCGGGCCCTGCCCGAACTCGCGAACGCCCCGCGGTGCGGGACCGGGGCGCCCAGGATAGGGCATGTCACAGCCACCCCCGTGACTACATCTCCCGGCAGCCCCGGCACCGCCCGGTGCGCACACCCCCTTCGGCCCACTGGCTGAGGCAGCGCTCCAATCCGAAGGYGCCGCTGGGTCCGGCCAGCCAATGGGAAGGCTGTTGCTAACACGCCGCAGTTATTTTTAGCACGGCCGGCACTTGCACCTTGTCGGTATCGTCTCCGCCGTGTCAGGCCGGCCCTGCTCCGCTGGAGGTGGAGGCACACAGGCGTGTGGAACAAAATAGTCCGGGAGGCGGGGAGCGAGTGCCGGGGGTGGGGTCTCCGTCCCTGTCTCGGGTCCGTGGGGATGGCCATGCTATTCCTGCCCTCCCCGCGGTGATGCCAGCGCTCCTGGTTTTGCCTTGTCCCGTTGCTCCCCGTGGAGATGCGCCCACAGCCATCCGGACTCCTCGTCCGTATTGGGAACTGGGGGTCCCGAGGGGTTTGCAGCGACGGAGGGAGATGGGATTGCTCGTCTGCACCTCTCCCCGAGTTCTTCCGCTCGGGCGGGGGACTACACCGCGGGGATTTTCGCAGAGTGGCTGGGGCATGCGGGGAGCTGTCCCCTCGGGAGTCCCGGGGCTGGCCTTGACACCGAGCTAAGGCTTGACAATGCCCGTGGTGCGCGGGGGCGGGGACCACGCCAGTCGGTCCGTACCTCCCCGCCCCACTCGATCCCCTTCCGCCATCGGACTAAGCCGCTTTGGGAAATCCTCAGGTCAATCCCCGCTAAACCTGCGGCCCCCTCTTTCCTTCCCCTACGCTCGTATCCGGACTCGAGGGGCTGCAGGGGGGGCTCCGCCGGCCCAGASCCCCGTCCATCCCGGGACGCTGCGGAAGGGGACAGGAGGCAGGAGGAAGTAGTGCCGCCCCGCCCCCTGCGGCCGCATCACGCGGGGCGGGAGCGGATCCGTGCGCCGAGGGGTTGCTAAGGGTGAAAGTTTGCCGTGAGTTGGCTCACTTGGGGCCAGGGCGCGGGCGGCTCTGGGGACGGGCCACCAGCATCCGCACCACAGCACCGCGCTCGGCCCGCGCCGCCGGGGGACAAGGAAGGGAGGGGACGGACGAGACGGGGCAGAGCAGAGATCCGCCGGCAGCATCCACGGCCCCCACGACAGCCGCCAGCAAGCCTCCGGCCCTGGAGCCGAGGACGCAGTAAGTGGGGCGGGGGGTGCTTCCCTCCCCCACACCCCATCTCGGGCCGAGGCCCCCTCAGCGCGCGTCCTCTCTGTGGGCTTGGTCTGAGGGGGCTTATCGTCTCCCTCCCCGCTAGGAGCAGCGATTTGCCCCTCCCTGGAGTCACTGAGTGGCTGTGGCCCTTGGGGAGACTATTGGGGCTTCAAGGAAGAAGGATGGGGGTGAAATTGATTGGGTCGGGGACGCTTTTCAGTGCCCGAGTTCACCATTTTGTTCTCTTCAGCCTAGTTTGAGGGGCGGGGGGATACGCGAGCTRCCCAGCCCTTATATCCCCAAAAAGGCAGGCTGGGCCTTGGGGCGGCGGTGGGCACCCTGGGCTGCCGGGGAAAGGGGATGTCGCCTGGGTGTCCCCTTTCGTGCACGTCGAGTTGCTGGGGGGGAGAAGCCCCGCGATAACAAAGGCGCTGTCGGGGATGGGCTGGGCTGCCTCCCCCCCCACTTCCATCTCCCCCGGACACCCCAATCTGCGGTGCCCCGTTGGGTGTGCGGGACCAGGTGCTCGCCCTTGTTGATATGTTCATCCATTCGACCGCTCTGCTGGGAACCTTGTTCGCAACCTCGCGTGCCCCACTGAGGCGAAGGGGACAAGCAGCCGTGGGCGGGAGAGAGGGACAGAAGGACACTGGGTTTGTGGCCTCCAGGGCTCTGTCCCGCAGCCGTGGAGGGGGGAAGCTGCTGCGGGGTGGGGACGCGCTCGCCTATCGCTGCCGCGAGGAAGGGAGTGAAAGGGAACGGACGAAGGGGGCGGGTGCCCCGCGGTCCCGGGCCGCGGGGCGTGTTCCCGGCCGTGGGCAGCGCCGGGAAGGGCGGGCGGCCCCCAACGCGCATGTGCCCTGGAAAATTTTATGCTCTGCCCCGCCGGGGGACGCGCCGGGCCGGGCGCGGGGCGCGCCGGGAGCCGCAGTCCGGGGAGAAGTAGGTCGCGGGGCGGGGAGGGGAGGCGAGGACTACAGCTCCCGGCGTGCCGGGGCCGGCCGGGCACCGGGGATGGAGGGGGTGGCCGGTCTTCGTCCCCGCGGGGCTGTTCGTCTTGCGGGAGCGGGGCCCTCGTTCCAGACGGGTGTGTCCGGCTGTGGCAGCTCAGGCCGCCGTGGTAGACGTCTGTTCAAGTTCCGAGGAGGCCGCCAGCCCGTTCCTGAGGCCGGACCTCCCTGGGGAGCTCGGAGGGATACCCGCAAGGTCATCCACTGTGTTGGTGTAGCCAGGAAGAGAGGGAATCGTTCCGGTGTTCACTCTTCTCTGTTGCAAGTGATGGTCTGGCCTCCCCCCTTCAGCATATCGATAAACGAGGGGTCTGAGGGGGTTCCTGCCTTCCCACCGCAGAGAAGAGAAACAGCCCTTTGTTTCCTTCCAGCACTTCAGTGTTCTGCCCACGTATAGTAAGCCTTTACTTGGAAAATGCTGGCCTTTAGGGAAGACTGCTCAGAATACCTCTTACAGTTGATAGTCCATAGTTTCTTCTTTCAGAGACATGTTTGCTTAAGCTGTTTTTTTGGTGGGTTTGGGGGGGGTAATTTAATTTTTTTATTACTTTATCACATTTCAATGCAGTAGAAAGAGATTGAGGGGATCCTACTGGAGTGCATCTTGCCATGTCAACAATCTGAGGAGCCAGTGACTTTTTTTTTTTAGTGCCTTTGGCAGGTATCAGTTGTATGTCACTGCCTTGGCAGCTGTTGGTATTATTAGTTTTACTTTTTCATAGTCAAGGTACTGAGTTTTTTCCTTTTAGGCAAGCAGGAAAAAAGAAGAAATGAGACAATGATGTATAACTGCACTTCCTTACTGCTTTCTACTAAAAGTCAATGAGGAACTGGGCTTCTCAATGTATATTGAGATGTTAGTATTGCAGATATGGTGTTGACAAATTTTGGCTTTTGTTCCTTTCCTAGTCTATAATATCTGATTTCTTAATAGATTTTGGATCTGGATTAGAATTCATTACAAGGTTTAAAAATTTACAAACTGGGTGTTCTGTTTCTGCTTAATTTTGTGGGGTCCTGAGCTGTCCTCTCTTTTTAATGTCTCAAAGCCAAAGAAGTTAGAGGGCTCCATGTAATCCTCTCTTGAGGTAGTATAGCCCGTACAAGCCCATGTTAGGGTTTAGAACTTTTCTTGTGCTCTTTTAGGGGTGTACTTCATGCTTCATTTCTGTGGAAGAGACTGTCTCTGTGCCAAGATTCTTGCCTTCTGAAAATGGCTTTTCCTTACTGTTCTTAGAAAAACTGTGGTTGCTTATTTGACATTCATCTGTTCTCACTTGAACTTGATCAGGTTACAGTGACATACCAAAGTTTGTTACATTACAGTAATTTCTTAAAGCATTTTTAAAGGCAAGACTTCTTCTCCACTCCCTTGTTTCTGTGTGTTTTTATGTTGCTGAGTCAAATCCAGAGAGGGTTCCTTCCAGAACTGGCCTCCTTGTTGGCAGATTTGAGGTGTGGGATCTGCTTCTGGTTGTCATCATCCTAAAGCTAAGCCTCTGTGAACTCTGAGTAGTACAGAAAAAGCATAGAATCTGCATTCTTTTTTTTCCGGTAAAGCTTCAAAATACTTGAGGCTTTCTTTAAAAGTTATTCAACCTTTCTGTCCACTAAACTAGACCAAGCAAACAAGTCTGATCAGTTTTTTTCTTGCTCCTGTACCTAGGCCAGCATGGGTACCTGGTTGTGCTGATGGGATTTTTCAGGGGAATGCTGACAATGTATGTTTGTACTCCATCCCCACCCCCAAATAATTGTCACACATTGTAAACAGTGGCTTGAGTGCTGTGCAAGAGCATCCCTAAAGCCCATTTTAGGAAGATGGTTGAGGTGTATCTCTTTGAGCAAGGTGAGGGCAGCTGAATACAAAGCGGCCTCTGACTAAGCTGCCAATTAAAAACTGGATATTCTTCTTTCCTCTGGAGAGGCGTGGAGGCTACTGGAAGTGTGCTTCCTCTTAAAATACCTGTGGGATTCATCTTCTTTGGATGAGTGACGGAATGTAATGCTGACATACCTGGTTTGGGGTTTTTTTTGTACGTAAATGCTGTTTGCAAATCTATGTATAATGGGAGAATTGAGTGTTGTGGTTTTGTATTGTGCTTGTGTGGGTTCTCTCCGTTTCAGAGACTTCCTCACCAGGGAGAGAGAGAGAGAGAGGAGGGAGGATTACTTCAATCTTTGGCAAGCAATTTCAGTTTTTATTAAGTAGGTACCTGATCTTAACAGAGCTCATCTTCCCTGTGTACAGAGATAACCAATGTGAACTGTATTGGAAAGGCTGTTGGCACGCCTGTATTTCGTGAGCCACACACATTTTCTGTCCCACTCTCCCCGCAGCAGAATTAAACTCAGATTTTATGCTTGTAGCTAGGCAGAGTCTCGACTGGGTACACTTAATATGTGTCTGCCAGTCAAGGGGATAGTAAACATGGGCTGGCAGCTGGTGCCTCAGCACCCTCCCTTGCTCCTTCTCATTGCTTCTGCGCTTGTGCCAGCAAGACATGGCACCCGGCTCAACCACCCAGCCTCCCAGAGGAGAGGCTGGCCCTGCTGTCCTGAGTGCAAGCAGGTCTCTCTACAGAGCTGCTGAGCAAGTCACAAGGCTGTTCAGGTGCTGTGCTTGTGCTCTGGAGAGTCTGGTGCAGGTGAGCCGTGCTGGAAGCAGCTGAGTGCCAGAGCAGGGGAAACGTGTTAGATGTGCTGACAGAGCTGTGCCAGAGCAGGCAGTGGCCTGCCAGGTTACAGCAGCAGTGCTTGGCAGTGAGGTGAGGCTGATGTACGTACCTGTGTGCGGGCAGTGGCTGTGCCCTTATTTCTTCTGAAAGAGTAGCATGGAGACTCCTCCCTACCAGCATCCCTCTGTTTTAAGGACCAGTAGATTGGTGGCAATTCTCCTAGAGAGAATTACTTCTTGTTAGTATTTGTGCAAATTACTCATTCTGCTTTGTTCATGAAAAGGCACAATTGTTTATCTCAACAGGTGGAGAGTTGTTAACTTCTCCAGTCTTCATCCATCCTTTTCTCTCTTTTCCTAGGTCTGTTTGGAGCCAAAACTTGTCTATGTTTCTGTCATTTTGTCACTTTTAATACCCTGCCCTGACTTGCTTGCTGCGAAGAGAGTATGCATCTGGAGATCAAAGTTGCTCTTAACTTCATCATCTCATACCTGTACAACAAGCTTCCTCGGAGGCGGGCAGACCTGTTTGGTGAGGAGCTAGAGCGCCTGCTGAAGAAGAAATATGAGGGTCACTGGTACCCAGAGAAGCCTCTGAAGGGATCTGGCTATCGCTGTGTTCATATAGGGGAGACAGTGGATCCCGTGGTGGAGCTGGCAGCCAAGCGGAGCGGGCTGGCTGTGGAGGATGTGCGTGCTAATGTTCCAGAAGAGCTGAGTGTCTGGATTGATCCTTTTGAGGTTTCCTACCAGATCGGTGAGAAGGGCTCTGTTAAGGTTCTCTACCTAGATGACAATGAGGGCTGCAGTGCCACAGAGTTGGACAAAGAAATCAAGAGCAGCTTCAACCCCGACGCCCAGGTATTTGTCCCTATCGGCAGCCAGGACAACTCACTGTCCAATTCTCCTTCCCCCTCCTTTGGCCAGTCACCCAGCCCCACCTTCATCCCTCGCTCTGCACAGCCCATCACTTTCACCACTGCCACCTTTGCTGCCACCAAGTTTGGCTCGACCAAGATGAAGAAGGGTGGAGGAGCTGGAGGAGGGAGTGGTGGAGCAGGGGCTGTGCAGCAGCCAAGAATGGTCAGGTCTCCCACCACCAACCTGCTGAAGCAGAAAGGCCTCTCCCTGTCTATGCACTCTCTGAACTTCGTCGGGAGTGCTGGGAACCAAGCCCCACAATCCCAGCTCTCACCCAATGCCAAGGAGTTCGTTTACAGCGGTGGCTCACCAGGAGCCAGCGGTCTCTTCTTTGATGGTGTTGCCAGTGAGAGCCAGGCCAGCAGCATCCCGCCAGCATCGCCGTTCAAYGCCAGCACAGGTGGTACCTTTGATATGGCTCAGGTCTTCGGGGGCAGCACCAATAGCCTCTTTCTGGAGAAGTCTCCCTTCGTGGAAGGACTCAGCTACAACCTGAATGCCATGCAATATCCTAGCCAGTCGTTCCAGCCTGTTGTCCTGGCCAACTGAACACAAAGGAAGGAGAGTATTTTGGGGTGGGGAGGGAGGGGGGAAACAAGAACAAAACAAACAAGAGGGAGAGAAAAGAAAAATAGAAATATACGGAAAATATTAAAACCTTACAAATATAGGTTCTTGGGAAAAGAGAGAGCTCAGTGTTGTTGCGCTGTGCTGGCAACGCTCCTGAAGCACTAAATTGTTTTTTAACTCAGTACCTGTGCTTTTTTCCTACTCACTTTTTTACTCCTTATAATGAATCTTCGGCTTTTTTTGGTTTGTGTTCCCCCATCCCAGCCCAGGACTGGTGCAACTGTAGGTCACAATGCTCCTGATTCCCTGCACCATCCCCTGCCCCAYGCTGGACACAGGGTCCCTCCACCTGGGTGTAGGGACGTCTTCTCGGTACCACCGTGTTGGAGGAGGGATGAGAAGAGGATGAGTCAGTGTTGGCGGAGACACACACACACTTGTTGCATGCTAGCCACAATGGGTGGGGGAGCTTGCTTTTTCTGTTATGGCTCTGCATGTAGATGGAGAGCATCTCCTGTGCCCACAGGTGCAGACCATTGCACTGTTGTGGCTCCAGCCCAAGCTGGCCTGAGCTGTTCTGTCTCATGCTGAAAAGCACTAACTCTTCTCCCAGCACGTCATAGTGAGAGCAGAGCATTACTGTGAAATGGCTTCTTCCTGTTGCCTTCCTCATCTGCACTTCCAGCCATGGCTACAGGGGGACAGTGCTTTGAGCTGAGTGGCTGTGGTATTGTACTTTTCTGTACCTGAACCAGAGGACCTTTTTGTGCTCTCTCAGGGCTGCCCGGTCAGTCTGGGTGACAGCCTCTGGTGTAAAAATACCACCTGCCTGTCCTTGTGGCTTGGGGGAGGTGGCACTGGACCAGCTGGATCAACCAGGTCCCTGCTTCCCAGGTGTTTTCTCCAGCAGCAGGGGCCAGCATCCACTTTGGGAGGCCTCTGAGGTAGAGTTCTCATTATCTGCTGTGAATTCATCTTCTTGTCTTAGAGAGGAAATTTCCTTCCTTTTTAGTTAGTGAGGCAGCAGAACTTCTGAGGAAGGTAAAGGTTGATGTTGTTGAAGGTGCTGTCATGAGTGGTAGCATAAGGGTTTGTGCTTTCAGCCAGGTATGCACCTGACCAAATCCTTTCCCTTGCCCTTCTGCAGAAGCATGAGGAGGGGCTGATCTAGTATGAAAAGGAAGCACCTATCACAAATTCCTCATTCTAGCTAGATCACATCAGCATGGACAGCAGCAAGCTTAGGGCTTGGCTGGGATGGGTGCTCCAAAGGCAAGTGGTCATCCCAGCCCATGAATGTATAGTGCCTCCTCACAGCAAGGCTGGGATCTGCGACTCTGCAGCTTTCCCCAGGATGATGGGCTGCAGTAGTGGCGTTTCAGCTTGGTCACTTCTGTGTTCAGGACTCCAAAACCCACCTTCACAGAAAGCCAAAGGAGCGCTGCATCATGCCCAAGAAGGGTGGAGCATTTTAGATGGGAAGGGAGGTCTTCTTGGAGGCTGCTGTGTGGGCATGCAAGTGTACAAAGAGGAGAGAGATTGAGATGATGAAACTCCAGTCTTTGAAGTTCTCAGTTTAAATGACAAATAAGCTTTTTGCTGCCTCCCAGATTTGAGGTTTGGATTTTTTTAATGATGTTTCTTGGAGCACCCTCTGAAATCCACTCCTCTTGCACTTGTGGAACCAGAGTGCTCTTTCAAGAAATGTCTGTTTCAGGTGAGAGGAGCTTGACAATGTATTTCTCCTCCTCCTTTCCCTCAAGCTGAAATGGAGGCACTTCAGCCCTTTTGAAGTTGTGTTGCAAATGAGCATTTGCAGAAGGCTGTCCCAGGCAGATTGCCTCTGCCTGGAACTTTCCAAGGAGGGTTTCCAGCACACCCTTCCCATGGATGGGTGATGGGGCACATGGTCCTGACCTCGTGCTCAGCATGGGTTCCCAAGCAGGCTGCTTGCCCTTGAGCTATGACCAGCATATCAGGTGGGTGAGGAGAGCAGAGCCCAGCCTGTTTCCCCAAAGCTGCTGTCCCCAGCCTCAATCATGCAGGTTTCCAGACTAGGACAAGTTGCTGAGAAATGGTCCAGCTGTTGTCTTTCCCTTTTTTTATTTTCTTGAACCTGCCACTTATGGACACTACCRCTGCCATAGAGTCCTTCTCCCCAGCAGAATGCTGCTGGGTGCCATCCCACATGCTTCACTGGACTCTGAGGGTTGCTCTGCCCCTGAGGGCAGGACCTGGTCCAGTTGCGCCACACTGTCCCCACATCTGGCAAAGCATCTTTGAACCACTGCCATGACACAGCATGCTCTCCTCCAGCACAGGGAGGGAGGGAAGAAGTGGGGATGTCCCCCGTCCACCTGCTTGTGTGTGTGAAACTTCGATGCCGCTTTGCCCTGCCACACATAATATACCTGYTTTAAAAGTAGTGGTGTGATTGGAAGGAGGAAAAGAAGAGGGACCAACCTCTTTGCATCTTAAAAGGAAAAAAGTGTGCTTCAGAAATGTTCCTCCAGCTTCAGGCAGCAATGGAAACTAACGGCCTTTTCAGGTCTTTTCTAGTCTTGGATGTAGGCGTTCAGCTTCAATTTTGTTTTTTAAAAACCTGCACTAATTTACCTGGTTTCTTAGGAAGAGAAGAGAGATGACTTTTTTTTAACTTTTATTTTTTATGGGTTTATGTTCTTTTTGTTGATGTCCGTTTGTATTGAATAATTTGCTACATTTGTAAAATGTAAGAGGTATATATAATATATGTATATTTCTAACGTAAAAATGTAATTTTTTTCTTTTCAAGATTTTTTCTTAAAAAGAGGAGAGAAAAAATATTTTTTCAGGAAAAAAACTTTAAAAAAAAAAAGAAGTGGTGAAGTTTCCTTTCTCCCCACTCAGCCTCCCTTTTCTCCCACCCCTCTCCAAGGAGTGAATCGACAGTTGCCTTGTGGGAGAGGAGTGAAAGAGGACAGAAGTTTGTATGTCTCCGAGTGGAGGGTTTCTGTGTGTGCTCTGCTTGGGGGTGTTTTTGGAGAAGGGGACTACTGAGAGGGGGATCCAGGGGGTTGCTGTCTTTTTCTTTTTTTTTCCTTTTTTTTTTTCTTTAGCGAAGGAGGAATACAATCAGAGTTTTGTATTCAGAATGTTGTGCAATATTTTGGAACGGGATATTGGTGTGTCTAGAGATTTAGTTAAAAACAAACAAAAAACCCATAAAAAGGTTGATCAAATCTGTACAGTTTCTATTGTTCCAGATTTTTTTAAGTTTGTATTAAAAGCATGATATAATAACTGTTCATTGTGTGGTGTGTGCTCAGTGCAGAGGGAACAAGGAGGGATGTGGCCACCTTCTGATGAACTGGTGCTCAGTGTCAGCCTCACAGACAAGGTCTTGGTTTGGGATGTGCTCAGTGGAGGTGTCACAGCATTAGGGTTGCCCAGGATTGTGCAACATGGCCAGGACAGCTGTCTCAGTGACCTGCCTCTGCCAAGAATAGCAGCACATAGGAAAAAGTGGCGATGTGCCTGGCCATCCCTGGTTCTGCCATGATTCAGCTCCCTGGGAGTGGGGAGAGCTGCCTGTCTTTCCCAGGGGAGAGGAGGGAGCAGGATGCCTTTGGTGTGTGGTGCTTTAGGGGCCTTCAGTCAAGCAGCAGAGTTCCTAAAATACCCCCAAGTTTTGTGGCAGCTCGCTAGGACCATCACCTGGGAGCCCTCTGGTGTCACTGCAGAGAGTAGATGAAGCTCCCCTAGGCAGTGCTTCCTGCAGAAAGGGTACTGGTTTTGGATTGATTTCTTTCCTCTGCACTAAGCAGCTTGTGTTTATCCTGGTGAGTCTAGGGTACTTGCTGAGCTAAGGGATCATCAAGGTGTATGTGCAGCTGTCCATCCTCCTGTGAATGTTCATCCGAGGTGACTTCCCATAGTGGGGTGGCCTTAAGGCTGAATATAAGAACATGCAGCAATGATGAACGTCTGATTTTGTTTCTTTCTAACCTCTCACTGCTCAGCTTCAATCAGAATTTCTGTTTGAGGGAGCATCTCCTTTTTCAGCAAAAGGGGATGAGATGGTTGGGGAAGGTGCTGAAATGCCTGTCATGTCTCACGTGTGCTGATGGCTTTGTGACCCAGCTTCCCCAGCCCACCATGCCCCTGCTGCCTCCTGTTTGAGGGGTGCCTCAGTTTCCCATGCTGCCTCCTTAAAAAGCTGTTGAAGGCAGGTGCTCTGAATGTCCTTGAGGAAACCAAAYGAGGACCTGGAGCTGACTCCCACTGGCATCCTTACTCATGCCCCCTCAGACCGTCTAGCCTAAATTTCTTCCTGGAAGAGCTCACTGTGCCCTTGATTTTGTGTGTCCCAGGAGATGGGCTGCTGTTCATGCCTGCTATATGCCATGTGACTGTCACACTCCGCTAAGCAACAAAACTATTTTTTCCCCTTTGTGTCTCAAACCCCTTGTAATCATTTATCTAAAGCACGCACAAACACTTGCCCTTAGATATGTTTTTGGAAATGGAAAATAGAGGGCAACTATGTGCCTTCCTGATCCTTGCCCTGCATTTGTTCAGTTGTGACGCAGGAAGGCATAGAGCCTTTCCCTTTTTGGGCACAGGTTGGGCCTGGAGTTGGCTTACAGCTGATAGCTCCACAGCCTGGGCAGGGATTAGGGAAGAGGTTTAGTATAGCCTTGTTCCTCCCGAGGTATTTGTCACTGTGCTGTCTCAGGGAGCAGGAATAGTGTAGAGAGCTGAACCTTCCATAGTGCAGTGTGCAGGGACAGGCTGTGCCTTCCATCAGCCTTGAGAGGGGAGCTGCTGGAGCCCTGTATTCGGCCAATGCGAGTTAGTGCTTGGCTGTGGGAGCGTTTGCTGGATGTTCGGACAGTGACCAAATCGGTCCAGGACTAGCATGCTCCAGGAAAGCATGACAGCAAGATGGGACTTGTCTTCCAGAACCTCCAAAGCGAGGGGCGTGGGGCTATTGTTTAGACACTCATCATATGGGATTCCATTATTAAGAAAGAAACTTGTAACTTGAGTCACTTGGAGGCGGGCTCCCACCTGAAAGGAGGAGACAGCTCTGGTAGAAAATGCCACACTTCAGCCTTGGGCTTCTCAGTCTGTGACAGCAGCAGTAGTTGTGACTGGAATTGGGCTGTTTGGGGAGTGGGAGGGGGCTGGTGCCCAGAGGGAAGCCTTATGCAAGCATGAAAAGCTGTTCTCTGGACTGTTTAAAATACAGGCCCAGCAAAATAGCCCGAGTTTAGTTCAGCAGGAGAGGCTCTCCTGCTACCCCAGAGCCTCCTGGAGATTTGGGATTATTTGGATTGAATAACACATGGCACGGGTGCCGCCAACAGCAGGTGTCTCCTTGTGCCCCAGCACTTGCCGACACGCCAGGATTGAGAGGTGGAAAAACACCACTAGTGGTGGGGCCAGGACCCGCTGAGTCCTTGGCATCTCTGAGGAGATTTCCTCCCAATGCCACCTGCTCCGTGCTCACATGGCTACAGCCACAGCACTGCCCATGGCCCCAGCGGGTGTGAGGGGCAAGGTTGACGCCATGGCCACAAAAGGACAGACAGGTCTTTCCACCCCCAGGTGTCCTTCACCGGAGCACAGGCACAAGCCCAGCAGCAGGCTGGGGCCAAGGTTAGCCGCCTCCAAAACCTTGCGCTTTTTCCTTTGGCAGGCCTCCAATTCAAACACAGCCAGGAACATGTTCACCCCAGCCTTGCAGAGCTGTTCTTCCAGTGTCCTCCCATTGGTGCCTGCATTGTGACCTCCAGAAACTTGATCTTTTTATAAAGCTGCTGAGGAATGAACCTTTCACCCTCCATCTCCAAGATGCCCCAGTGAAGGATAAGCCCCTTCTGGCAGACAGCACTTTTGAGTTGTACTGGTCAATGAAGGGCACATTTTGTATGTGGCTATTGCTAGTGGCAAAAGTGACTCCAGCATGGTATGTGTGTGTGTCAGGAAGAAATGTGTCCCTTTTCTTCCCTAAGAAACGCTCAAAGGCACAGGAGCGAGGTAGGAGAAGAGGATCTCTGTGAAGAAGGGTCAGGGTTAAATTTTGCGTCTTTGCTTTGAGGAGGGGCAGGGAATGGTTCAGGTGAAAGTGGGGGGGGAGCTTGTTCCCTCTTCACCAAATGCAGAAGAGACAAACAGAGTCCCCATGTTATTCTGCAGTTGCTGAGACCTAATTGAGGGGGTGCATTTGTGCTTATTTTTGTTGGCCTCTCACTGCTGGCACAGTTTGACTGCTGAAGGAAGCAGATCCTCAGGAGGGAGTGTGTCCCTCCCACTTGGCAGGGTGTTTCCACCAAGGACAAAGTTTTCCTTCAAGTGAATCAGCCAGAATCTGCTTGCAGAAGGTGTAGCTGGGGCTTTCATCAGAAAAAAATGAACCTGAAATGACCCACACAGGGTGATGCATAGGGAGGGCAATGGGCAATGAAGCAGGAAATGCTTCTTTCACAGGCCTAGGTTGCAGAGCTCAGCAAATTCACACAAGGGCCAAGTCCAGCCTCCCTCAGCAACAGGCATTCTTGCATTTCCTGATCTTCCTGTGGTTGGGTTCAGTGTCAACACGTGCTGCTGTGGGCTCCCACAGAGGCATGAGTGGCGTCACAGCAGGCCTCGGGCACCTTTCCAAAATCTACCAAGGTCATCCTCTGTCCCTGCCTGTGCCAAAACTTCACTTTGCATGGAGCATAAGCACTGGGCCAGCACCCATCGGGCTCTTCTGCTGCCTCACACTGATCTTGCCCTCACTGGAAGCTGCTCTGAATGGAAAAGGAGGTGATGCAAAGGCATGGAACAGAGACATGCTGAGGAAGACAGCTTATTTCTCGCAGCCATGATACTGCCAGCCTCCACTGAGGAAGGAAAAGGGCTTGACAAACCCAGACAAAATCTGATTTAACAAGACAAGACCAGAAAGAGCACAGGTGGGTTGTGATGTTCCAAGGTAGAGCCAAAGGTGCTCTGCTCTGCTGAGGAGAGCAGTGTAAGCTGTCACTGTTGGACAAGGCATTGGATTCTATAACCCACAGCCTAGGTGCTAACACATCAGCATAGGGAACCACAAATTGCTGATTTTTAGAAACACAAATGAAGAAAATTTCATATGTTCTAGATTATAAATCACACCACAGATCATGAGTATAAAACCATGCAAGAGAGGCATCACTTGGTTCTTCAAATGAGCAACTTGATCATTGAGAATAACCAGTCAAAGCCAGCTAAAGATTATTTTGTGCTGATAAGGCTTTATTTTTAATCTTGGAGTTTTTGTCTTCTCCAAAGGTACATTGCTCTTTGAAAAATCCTATTTTCCTTCATGTAGATACTTACAGAAATTTTTGACAGTCACTGAACTTAAGTAGAAACCTTCCCAAAGTCAATGAGGTGAGAGTGGGGACAACAATAACTCTATAGCAAGCAGAGAATAATGTAGCATGCAGCCAGCAGGTAGTAGCATCAGCCATTTGAGGCCAGTATTTATTGCAGGAAAAAGCCATTGACCCCATCTCTGTGAACAAAGACAACACCACAGCTGAAAAGATTTTGCTACTTTTCATTTTTTAAAAAACAACTCCAGGCTTCCCGGTGCGCACCTTAAAATGCTATGAAAGGACCGAAGTCCATCCAAACATGACTCCAGTGTTTTATATTATGGGTTGCCATAGGCAGGATTATTGACTCCTCTGAGTGCATGGAGTAACTGCAAAGACCTGTGGGTCTTCCAGCAGCACCTGATTGATCTCTACCTGTGATGGAACTTTCCTGGAAAGTGGAATTAATTGGTTGAATGAGGTCATCTGAGGGCTACAATAGCAATCTTCAAAGCATTCCACTAGGAAGTGGAGGCCTGTGTTAGTAACTGTTTACTGACCCTTCCCTTGCCTGGCGAGTAGAGCTTCATAGTCTGGAACTGGTTGGAGCTGCATATCTTCCTTTAACATATCTGGAGTGTACTGCAAAATTGCACAAGTATCTTCTCCAGAGCTGCTGTGCCCTTGTAGGGCTGCAAGAGCTGGTGGGGATGGCCCCATGAGGAAGCCACAAAAGCCAGACCACAGCGCTCCACCAGAGAAGACCATGTCGCCTCAGTGGTGTGACAAAGCTTCCCACAACTGGCTGGAGATTGGTTTCCACAGCCTGTGAGGTAAAAGGGCAAAGGAAAGGGATGTCACTGTGTTTGCCTGTTTGACAAAAAAAAAAAATTATCTGGTGATGCTTGTTAACCTTGACAGAATTGGAAACAGGGCGCTGGCTCTGACCTCACAAAAATCCCC